AGCATAGAAATCAAACCCACCCCAATCCCCACCACCCCCCCAATCCCCACCCAGCAGTAACATCTACCACCTTCCCCTCCATACACTACTCAACAGAAACAAAACACTCAACCCCCCAGTGTCCTCTGTCCAACAGAAACAGTTATACCCCCATCCTACACACAGGCAAATAAATTTAAAAAAAAAAGGGGGAGGGGGGGGGGGACACTACCCCCATAGATGCCCCCGGCAGCACTGTACGATTCTCACCATTTGTAGGATGTTCACTGAGTCGGTCTCGGTCTGGGAGACGCCATCCCTCATCTGGGAAGGTCCTCGAGTTGTCTTCTCACCCTTCTCTCCCGGATCCTCGTTCCCTGTCTTACCTGGAATCCTGCAGACAGAACAGACAATGAATAATGCGACCGGCATCAAGACTCAACTATTTACCTGCCGCGTCCTAATTCAATCATGGTCATTATAGTCCCGGATGATTATAACTGTCTGCAGAATTGTAGAGCGCTCGTGTGATCTATGACTGTGCTATTCAGAGAAGGAGGTCAGGCCAGGACTGGATGACTCCATCCGTGTAACTCAGAACCCACACTGCGGACATGGAGCGCAACGTAGTCTGACCAATGCCCCCTGGAGGGGAAGAGTGCTTTGCCCCCCCAATCCCCACTCCGTCTGACCAATGCCACCTGGAAGGGAAGAGTGCTTTGCCCCCCCACCAATCCCCACTCCGTCTGACCAATGCCGCCTAGAGGGGAAGAGTGATCTGCCCCCCCACCAATCCCCACTCCATCTGACCAATGCCGCCTGGAGGGGAAGTGTGCTTTGCCCCCCCACCAATCCCCACTCCATCTGACCAATGCCACCTGGAGGGGAAGAGTGCTTTGCCCCCCCCCCCATCAATCCCCACTCCATCTGACCAATGCCGCCTAGAGGGGAAGAGTGCTTTGCCCCCCCCCCCCCAATCCCCACTCCATCTAACCAATGCCGCCTGGAGGGGAAGAGTGCTTTGCCCCCCCAATCCCCACTCCATCTGACCAATGCCACCTGGAAGGGAAGAGTGATTTGCCCCCCCACCAATCCCCACTCCAATGCTGACCAATCCCCACTCCATCTGACCAATGCCACCTGGAAGGGAAGAGTGATTTGCCCCCCCACCAATCCCCACTCCTTCCAATGCCACCAAGGGAAGAGTGCCGCCTGCCGAGGGGAAGAGTGCTTTGCCCCCCCAATCCCCACTCCGTCTGACCAATGCCACCTGGAAGGGAAGAGTGATTTGCCCCCCCACCAATCCCCACTCCATCTGACCAATGCCACCTGGAAAGGAAGAGTGATTTGCCCCCCCACCAATCCCCACTCCGTCTGACCAATGCCGCCTGGAGGGGAAGAGTGCTTTGCCCCTTCTACAAGGCACAAATCCCATTTAAATACTAAGCTTACCTAAATTAAAAAAATGCACAAAAGAGGTTATTTTATTTGTCCCTTGTGCTGCGGTTTCCCCCTTTCACCAAAATCTTCCTCTCTCCAATGCCCACCACTCTAATCTGCAGGTAAACTTGGGGACGTCACCGGTTGACCCACTCCCATCTTTACCTGTCATTCGGCGAGCATCTTTCCAGTCTACACAGGACACGTCACTCGCCAAATGGGGGGCGTCGAGTGTCTCTCCACGGGTCATGTCTGGCGGGCTTTTTTCATTTTGTTTTTTTTTTCCACGTGGATTGTCGTTCATCGTGATTGGCGTTGGGTCTACTTTGGGTTGCGTTTATTTTCTCTTTGGTTTTTTAATGCAGGTCTTGATAAAAACGGTCTCTGGGTTTTTATTTACTTTTGACTTTTTTTGGTGAATGAATAGGGGTACTATTGTAATGGCTCCAACCCAGTTATAATACCGCTTCCCCGTCCGAACACCGACCACAGACACCACAGCCGACCAAACAAGACTAGACAACACCAGTCTGTCTGAACATGGAACTCTATTTGAAACAAACTGTTTTTTTTATACACTCAAGGGAACAATCCCCCCTCCCTGCATAATGTCACAGGGTGGGACAATCTACATTTAGTAACAAGAGACACACCAACAGACAGTCCCATCAGGAGGGAGGGCTGCTGGAGACACCCCCACCAAGCCAATACACAAACACATACATCCCATAGTAGTTTGCTCCCAAGCAAGACACACAATAGAACAATGGGATGCAACCACATGGCATTAAACAATCTACAACCCCCACCCCAATATTAGGACAGATCACCCTGTACCCCTAACAGGCACAGGGTGACTTACACATAATAGGGATATGGGGAGCTGAGACAGGGAGAATTGTTCTGTGTGACCAGGGCAAAATCAAAATGTTCTCAGGAGATATCATCTACAAACTGAGCGTTCTCAATTCATAAAGGCTCGAAAAAAAAAAAAGAATGTATCCACAGTTTCACTAGACAAATAGCCATGCATTTTTTTTATAAATACACAGCATGTTTCAGGTATGGTCATTTTAAATAAAGGAATACGTTTCAGCGTCCCTGCATGTGCCCTTCTCACCTGGCTGCCCCATTGTCCTCAGCTGGTATTGATAGATTGTCCATCTCCTCATTATTTAGTCCCAACTCCGTGCCATAGCTTTGCTGTACCAGCTGCCAGAACTCCTTCTTGGTCAGACTCTGTGGAGAGATGAATTGGAAAGTGGGGGTTGTCACATTTTTTTGTTTATATCCCAATTATTTCACACTTCAGACACTTTTCCCATGTCCTTTGGGTCAAAGACCTATTGTTCTAGAACAGCCATTCTCAACCAGGATTCAGCAAACTCCTAGGGTTCCTCCAGAAGTTGATAGGGGTTCCGTTGAACTTTGGTGGATTCACCTCCAATTGATGGTGGTTGCTTTGTTCATAGGCCAAAGCCATGTGACAGAGTCAGCAGTATAACACCAATGAGCTTTAGGAGTTTGTAAGGAGGTCACCCTTCCCAGAGACCACCACCGCAAGGAGGTCACCCTTCCCGCAGACCACCACCGCAAGGAGGTCACCCTTCCCGCAGACCACCACCGCAAGGAGGTCACCCTTCCCGCAGACCACCACCGCAAGGAGGTCACCCTTCCCGCAGACCACCACCGCAAGGAAGTCACCCTTCCCGCAGACCACCACCGCAAGGAGGTCACCCTTCCCGCAGACCACCACCGCAAGGAGGTCACCCTTCCCGCAGACCACCACCGCAAGGAGGTCACCCTTCCCGCAGACCACCACCGCAAGGAGGTCACCCTTCCCAGACAGACCACCACCACCGCAAGGAGGTCACCCTTCCCGCAGACCACCACCGCAAGGAGGTCACCCTTCCCGCAGACCACCACCGCAAGGTGGTCATCCTTCCCGCAGACCACCACCGCAAGGAGGTCATCCTTCCCGCAGACCACCACCGCAAGGAGGTCACCCTTCCCACAGACCACCACCGTAAGGAGGTCACCCTTCCCACAGACCACCACCGTAAGGAGGTCATCCTTCCCACAGACCACCACCGTAGGAGGTCATGCTTTCCCACAGACCACCACTGCAAGGAGGTCATACTTCCCACAGACCACCACCGCAAGGAGGTCATCCTTCTCACAGACCACCACCGCAAGGAGGTCACCCTTCCCACAGACCACCACCGCAAGGAGGTCACCCTTCCCACAGACCACCACCGTAAGGAGGTCACCCTTCCCACAGACCACCACCGTAAGGAGGTCACCCTTCCCACAGACCACCACCGCAAGGAGGTCACCCTTCCCACAGACCACCACCGTAAGGAGGTCATCCTTCCCACAGACCACCACCGGTAGGAGGTCATACTTCCCACAGACCACCACCGCAAGGAGGTCATCCTTCTCACAGACCAACACCGCAAGGTCATCCTTCCCACAGACCACCACCGCAAGGAGGTCACCCTTCCCACAGACCACCACCGCAAGGAGGTCACCCTTCCCACAGACCACCACCGCAAGGAGGTCACCCTTCCCACAGACCACCACCGCAAGGAGGTCACCCTTCCCACAGACCACCACCGCAAGGAGGTCACCCTTCCCACAGACCACCACCGCAAGGAGGTCACCCTTCCCACAGACCACCACCGCAAGGAGGTCACCCTTCCCACAGACCACCACCGTAAGGAGGTCACCCTTCCCACAGACCACCACCGTAAGGAGGTCATCCTTCCCACAGACCACCACCGGTAGGAGGTCATGCTTCCCACAGACCACCACCGCAAGGAGGTCATACTTCCCACAGACCACCACCGCAAGGAGGTCATCCTTCCCACAGACCACCACCGCAAGGAGGTCATCCTTCCCACAGACCACCACTGTAAGGAGGTCATCCTTCCCACAGACCACCAATGTAAGGGACATTTTCTCCACTGTCAGTTGATGAATTGGTTTTATCAGGGTTCCTCAAGACCTAAACATTTTAAGGGTTCTTCTAGGGTTAGGAGGTTGAAAAAAGCAGTTCCAGACCCACCTTGGCCATGTATAGCAGGAAGGTTACAGAACATAATGGACATAAAAACTGTTTGATAGCATGACGTTTCATGGCAACTAAGTGACAAAGCTCAGAATATATTTTGTTTGGCCCCATGTGAAGTCTCTGACAGACATTATTGTAAGATTCTCAACTGTCAGCTCTGTTTTCTCTAACAAGTAACATCGATACAGAATGACAATGTAAGTAAAATTCCATTACATAAAATAAATATAGAGATTACAATGCATTACACAGCCCCAGAAACACTTGTGTTGTTTCAGGAAACTAAGTTCTCATTTTGTATTGTTTCCTTTAAATAGAACTATGGCCTCCCAGTACGAAATTATAGGTCAGGGAAAGTAAAGAGCATTTCATTTCATGAGGCTTGTACATCACTTAGTAACTGGACTTGGTGCTTGTTTAAAGAGGCATACAGAAGTCTTTAGTTATACAAAAAAAAAAAAGACACAAACCTAATTTAATAAAAATTACGTAAAATTGAAAACAATAATAGTACTGATAATTCACAGAAGCGACCTCTGTGGTCGAATGAAAACCAGGTGCAAAATAAACTAGAGAAACTTAATGCGAACAAATCACCAGGTCCAGATGGCTTACACCCACGAGTTCTTAGGGAACTTAGCTTAGTCAAGCTGCTCTAATTAATTAGAAGGCACCTTACTGCATGAAATGGTACCAACTGATTGGCGTAGATCAAATGTGGGACCAAATTTCTGCTCTCTCCTGGCTCTCATCCTACCTGTCACAACGCTCTTTCAGCGTTACCTATAATGCTACCACCCCCCCTCACTCCCTCTCTCTTTGGGGTCCCTCAAGGCTCCGTCCTCGGGCCCCTTCTCTTCTCCATCTACACCTCCTCCCTTGGCCAACTCATACACTCTCACGGTTTCAACTACCACCTCTATGCCGACGACACACAAATCTCTCAACCCCCCACCTCACCCCCTCGGTCTCCGCCGGAATCACACACCTACTGAGCGACATATCCGACTGGATGTCGCTCCACTTCCTTAAACTGAACATCTCCAAAACCGAGTTTTCTTGTCTTCCCCCCAGCCCGGACACCACCCCCCATTGACTTCTCCATCATGTCCAACAACGCCACCATCAAACCCGCCCCGCAGGCCAGAGTACTTGGTGTCATTCTGGACTCCAACCTATCCTTCCAGCCCCAAGTCCAATCTTTAACTAACTCATGCAGACTCCACCTCCGCAACATGCAGACTCCACCTCCGCAACATCGCCAAAATCCGCACGTTCCTAACCCCAGAAACCACTAAACAGCTCATCCACTCCCTCATCATATCACGACTCGACTACTGCAACTCCCTCCTCACTGACCTGCCTCGCCGCTGGCTATCCCCGCTTCAGTCCATCCTGAATACGGCTGCCAGACTCATTCACCTTTCCAACCGCTCCATCTCCGCCACCCCCCTCTGCCAATCCCTCCACTGGCTTCCGATTGCGCAACGGATCAAATTCAAAATCCTAACATTGACGTACAAAGCCGTCCACCATACTGCCCCGAACTACATCACTGACCTAATATCCAAGTACCACCCAACACGCACACTCCGCTCCTCACAAGACCTCCTTCTCTCTAGTTCCCTGGTCTCCTCCTCCCATGCCCGCCTCCAGGACTTCTCCAGGGTGTCACCCATCCTCTGGAACTCCCTGCCCCAACCCATCAGATTATCACCTACTCTCCTCTCCTTTAGGTGCACCCTGAAAACCCATCTCTTCAAGGAAACCTACCCCACCCCCTGCTAACCTGCCGACCTCCTCCACTCTTCCTACCACTCCATCCCCCACAGCTATCTCCTCCTGTGCCACCATCCCCTCCCTCCTAGATTGTAAGCTCCAAGGAGCAGGGCCCTCAATCCCCTCATGTTTTGCATTGTATTGGCATTGTTCTGTCACATGTTCTGTCCCCCTCTGTAATGTACAGCGCTGAGCGAACTATTGGCGCTTTATAAAATACTGTATAATAATAATTTACAAAAATGGATTGAGATGTATACCAGGAAACTACAGACCAGTCAGCCTAACATCAATAGTTTGTAAAGTATTTGAAAGGATGAGAAGGGACTCTATACAGAAATTTGTCTGTAATAAAAGGTATTATAAATGACAACAAGAATGGATTTATGAAAGACCAACCTGTTTTTATTCCATGGGGAAGAAGAAGGAAATTGGATGGTGCATGTCCAGTGGATGTAGTTTATCTAGATTTTGCTACTGTACCTCAGTCTACAGTAAAAAAAAATAAGGTCTGTTGAAGTTGCTGAAATTGTATGTACATTGGTAGGAAACTGGTAACATGAACGGGTCCAGAGATTAGTCATAAATGGCTCATTCTCTGAATGGTGGGCCCCATAATTTGGTCTTGGGGCCAATGCTGTACAGTTTAATGATAAAGAGCAGGGGTGTCCGAACTTTCTAAACAAGGGGACAATTTACTGTCCTTCAACCTTTAGGGGGGCCGGACTGTAGCCAGTTGGAGAAGAAAAATGTCCTGCTGTCGGTGGGAGTAGTAAGCAATGCCCCATCATTGGTGTCAGTGGGAGGAATAGTGCCCCATCATTGGAGTCAGTGGGAGGAATAGTGCCCCATCACTGGAGTCAGTGGGAGGAATAGTGCCCCATCGCTAGCGTCAGTGGGAGGAATAGTGCCCCATCGCTAGCGTCAGTGGGAGGAATAGTGCCCCATCACTGGCGTCATTGGGAGGAATAGTGCCCCATCTTTGGCGCCAGTGGGAGGAATAGTGCCCCATCATTGGCGTCAGTGGGAGGAATAGTGCCCCATCATTGGCGACAGTGAGAGGAATAGTGCCCCATCATTGGGGTCAGTGGGAGGAATAGTGCCCCATCATTGGGGTCAGTGGGAGGAATAGTGCCCCATCATTGGGGTCAGTGGGAGGAATAGTGCCCCATCATTGGCGTCAGTAAGGGGAATAGTGCCCCATCATTGGCGTCAGTAAGGGGAATAGTGCCCCATCATTGGCGTCAGTAAGGGGAATAGTGCCCCATCATTGGCGTCAGTAAGGGGAATAGTGCCCCATCATTGGCGTCAGTAAGGGGAATAATTACCCATTATTGGCATCAGTAAGGGGAATAGTGCCCCATCATTGAGGTCAGTGGGGGGAATAGTGCCCCATCATTGGTATCAGTGGGAGGAATAGTGCCCCATCATTGAGGTCAGTAGGAGGAATAGTGCCCCATCAATGGTGTCAGCGGCAGGAACTATGCAGCACTGTTGCTGACAACAGGGGGAATAATGCCCCAAAAGCATGATAAAAGTAAGTAAAAGGGCTACATCCAGCCTCCAGGCTACAGTTTGGAAATCACCGATATAAAGTTTGGAATCATGAGCTTAAATTTCAGTGTTTGCTGATGATACCAAATTATTCCAGGAAATACCTCGCTGGATGTAGTATCATTACAGTAAGACCTTGACAAAATAGGGGGTTGCTAAATGTAAAGTTCAGTGAAGTAGCCTTCACTGGAAACACCCGCATGCAACATTGTGGAAGATGTCCACCCATTGCATACACGCAGTAAAAACAAAAAACAAACAAAAAATAAAACCCGACTCAAAGCATCCATAATTTTCTTTAATGTACCCAACAATGAAAATAAGAATCTCCCCAATCCATCCATTTTCATCTCCGGTCTATGGGAAAGCTTTGATTCTGCCAGATCTTTTCGTAAGGCCAGCAGGACTAACTTCACACGATTGTGGATCGCTCCCAATATACTGTGCCGTGAGAACGGTCAGGATTACGCCTTACACATGACTGCCCTAACAGTCCTGGGGCCATTGCAGCCCATTGAACAGAATAGCTTATGGTTCCTGCAGTGAAGGAAGATTATACGCGAGCTGATGGAAGATAATCAGATCACAGGTGTTCAGCGATGAAAAGTTCTATAGGAATATTAAGTATCATTTCCACGAAGAGGTAATCCAGTCCTATGTAGAGCATAAGTAAGCCACGCAACAAAAGAAAAACTCCAGTTGAAAAATGGGATATTAACCAGAATTAAATTTTTTTCCCCCCAATTTAACCACTTCCATACCGGGTACTTTTACCTCCCTTCCTGTCCAGGCCAATTTTCAGGTTTCAGCACTCTCACACTTTGGGAACACTGTTGCATGACCACGCAATTGTCATTCAAACTACATTTTTATAAATTTTGCTCACACAACTAGAGCTTACTTTTGGTGGTAATCACCTCTGGGGTTTTTATTTTTTGCTAAATTAACAAAAAAAGACAGGAAATTTTGAAAAAAAAAAAAAAAAAACGTTTTTCTTTGTTTCTGTTATAAAAGTTTGCAAATAAATAATTGTTCATAAATTTAGGCCGAGATGTATTCTGCTACATTTCTTTGGTGTAAATAACCCAGATCAGTGTTTATTATTTAGTCTGTAGGAAGGTTATAGAGTTCACAAACTATGGGATAGATCTGAAAATCGATCAATCCTGAAGTACTGACGGCCAATCTAATTTCTTGAGTCTCAAAAATGTCGGGACAGGACAGATATCCCCCAAATGTCAGGACGGTACAGATAAATCCCCAGATATCAAATGTCAGGACAGGGACAGATATCCCCCAAATGTCAGAAAACAGGACAGATATCCCCCAAATGTCAGAACGGACAGATATCCCCCAAATGTCAGGACAGTACAGATATCCCCCAAATGTACAGATATCCCCCAAATGTCAGGACAGTACAGATATCCCCCAAATGTCAGACAGTACAGATATCCCCCAAATGTAGAACAGATATCCCCCAAATGTCAGAAACAGTACAGAAAATGTCAGAACAGTACAGAATATACCCAAAAAAATGTACAGATATCCCCCCAAATGTCAGGTCAAATGTG